ACTTCCAAAAGCAGCAGCAACAACTAAACTGGATAACACATCTAACTCCAAGAGAAAAATAATGACATAAGATGTTGACTACACGCCACTTCAAAGAAACAGTGAGTTAAGAATCCACCATTAATACTAGAAAGCTCAATAACTGTTTGTGAACACGGGAAACCTATTTTCCAGAAAAAGCTTTTCCTTAAGAGAAAAAATGTATAAATTTAAACCGACAGTAACGGTAACTCTTTGGTCAATAAATGTCGAATGTCTCCTTATAAGGAAACGGTTGATTTCACTATTTTATAAATTATCATTATCATTTTCGTTATTAATACTTTATTATTGTTTTTTCCATCTTATTATTTGTTGTGACCAAGTAAATGGTTAAAGAAATAACAAAACAAGTGTTACAGAAATATAATATATTAAACAGTAAGTACAACAGAAGAGTATTACACGACTAGTGAGTGTATGTCGGTTGACCCAGAGTTCAATCTGTTCGACTGTTAATATTTAAGAGCCACCCTCACGAAGGATGCACAAGCCCGAGTTTACCATGGGTTCACTGAGTCCTTAGGCTCGGCCAAAAATATTCCCTTAGAACTGGCATAAACGGGTTCAGGGTCTGTCTACCTCACCGGACGAAACTTTTCCCTTCGGCAAAGCCTTGTCCGGGTTCCTCTCTACCGAGGCAGAGAGTTCGACAGTTACGAACAGTCTGGTCGACTGTTAATATTTAAACCGCCCCAGGAAGGATCTATGTGGCACAAGGCCGAGTTTACCGTGGGTTCTCCGAGCCCGCAGGCTCGGCCAAAAATATTCCATTCGAACCCGCATAAATGGGTTCAAGGCCTGTCTACTTCCCCGGACGAAACTTGGCCCCTCGGCAAAGCCTCGTCTGGGTTCCTCTCTGACGAGGCAGTCTGGTCGACTGTTAATATTTAACAGCCCCCACCATGAGGGATGTATGGAGCACAAAGCCGAGTTTACCGTGGGTTCTCCGAGCCCGTAGACTTGGCCAGAAATATTCCCTCAAAACCTGTATAAACAGGGTTCAGGGACTGTCTACCTCCCTGAACGAAACTTTGCCTTTCGGCAAAGCCTCGTTCGAGTTCCGCTCTGCTCAAGGCAGAATGTTCGACAGTTGAACAGTCTGGTCGACTGTTAATATTTAACAGCACCCCCACCCCCACAGACGAGGGATATATGTACCACAAGGCCGAGTTTACCGTGGATTCTCCGAGCCCATAAGCTCGTCAAGAAATATTCCCTTAGAACCCGTATAAATGGGTTCATGGCCTGTCTACCTCCCCGGACGAAACTTTGCTCTTCGGCAAAGCCTCGTGCGAATTCCTCTCTGCTCAAGGCAGAGAGTTCGACAGTTGAACAATCTGGACGACTCTTAATATTTAACAGCCCCCCACGAGAGATGTATGTCGCACAGGGCCGAATTTACCGTGGGTTTTTTCGAGCCTGTAGGCTAGGGCAAAAATATTCCCTTAGAACCTGCATAAACGGGTTCAGGGACTGACTCTCCTCGTCCGGCTTTCTCTCTGTCGAAGCAGAGAGTTCGACAATTTGAACAATCTGGTCGACTGTTAATATTTAACAGCCCCCGCTCCACTAGGGCGTATGTGGCACAAGGCCGGTTTATTGTGGGTCCTCCGAGCCCGTAGGCTCGGCCAAAAATATTCCCTTTGAACCCGCCTAAACGTGTTCAGAGATTGTCTACCTCCCCGGACGAAACTTTACCCTGCGGCAAAACTTCGTCCGAGTTCCCCTCTGCCGAGGCAGAGAGTTCGACAGAAATAAACAGTCTGGTCGACCGATCCCCCAGGGCCTTCTCTCCTCCTAATCTTATAGTAGGCGGAAGAGTCCAACATAGACTCTTCAGAAGGATGTCACCACATTATTATTATTCTTTGTAGATGAAACCCTTTGTTTATTATCACTTTATTACTAAGCATGGGGAGGATTGAGGTTTCACTTGGTACTTCCGAGAACGGATGAAATCATTCCATCCTGATACTGGAAATAGGTTACATGGATAGAGGGTTCCTGTTTAATGGATGCTTAGAAGAAGATATCAGTATCTACCACAGAGTGATCCGAGTTACCAAGAGGGCAATATTGTGAAGCTTGGTAAGAATGGGAAGAGGAGGAAAGAAATAGATCCAATAGAGAAGTCTACGATTTGAGATAGAGATTGGGCAATGGAAAAATTGAATGTTTGTATAACGGCAACATCAGTACATTTACAATGTTTCAACCACGTGCCGTGGTGAACATTAAAGTCACCGAAGACAAAGATATTCGCAGATGGATGGAGAGAAAGTTACTTTCCTATACTGTCAGCTATTGCGTCTAATATACTGTCATCTTGGAAAGTGAGCGGGGGCTGGAGATAAAGAAAAATCAGCTGAGAGAGTTTAGTAACGACAGCCGGAAGCACATCATCATCTTGCGGCCTCAGCCGGGATTGAACTCACCAATACTTTGATTGGTGTAGTTCATAATCTTGTCAAATAGCTGAATTCTTGATGCTTCGCTAGGGCTATCAAGGGTGTTTTTATCGTGGCACAAACACTACATGGATTGCCAACCAAGGCTCAGAGAGACTCCATTCACCCTCCTCTAAGAGTAGGTTTGAATTCAGAGTTTTCCTTCTCCTAGATCAGTTGCCATCCAAGGCTATAGAACCCAGTCTGTCCTGCTATTTACCCATAGCTGGAGGGAGAAGAAAGAGGATTCATACCTTCCCCAAGGGTGTTAGCACGTAAGTGAATGTAATGGATTCGACTGGAATTCGAACTCGGCTCTCCGATTCCTCAATCCAAGCCGCTATCCATTACTCCACCGTGCATCCTAAAAGCACATAAAAGAGTAGTCAGCGGCCTTAAGAGACAATTCCCTGGCCATTGGAAGATTATCCTGGATGCAAACACCAAGGCCATGCATATGAATGCTGGAATCATTTCTGCAAAAGGGAAGATACGCTGGAACCAAGAATTCATTCGTAACAATGGAAAAATTCAAGTTGGTTTCACAAAGAGCAAAGATATTTGTAAAAGATATATGTGTAAAAAATGAGAAACGACTCATATTAAGTAATGAAAGTATAAATTCCGATGTCTACTACCAACTATAAATGGGATGGTAGGACTTAATATACTGTAGTCGTGTCATTTTTTTTAGCATTGATAAGCAACATTCTAAATTAAACAAGTTGGGGGTAGGGACTGAAGTAAGAATTTTGATAGTTAATAGCAATGGGGGAACAAAATACACGCGTCACAATGACGGGTAGGTGAAAACATTACAGTCTAAACCAAAAGAGTGAAAAATATACAAAAATGAAATAAAATTCAAAGAATAACGGAAATATTTAAACCTCTAACAACAGGATGGCACAAGCAATGTAACTTACGAACATTACAAATACTTAACCTCAAACTGTAAATTTTACGTTTCTATGGACATGGTAGAGGAACTTATTTTCAATGGTGAGTTTTGAGAAAAAAATATGGCTGCCTTCAAATAGATTTCAGCTTTCCTCACCAAACACTGACTTGGGATCAGTGGACATGGAGGTGAATGAGTGAACAAGTGGGTGACTGGGTAAGGTCCAGACCCAAAAATCTCGCATCGGACGGGTAGTGGAGGAGGTAGTTGAAAGTGTGGGAAGAGGTCTACCTCTTGTTTTCTTCTTTGCCATCTTTTAGTTTTATTATTTGTTTTTGGCATCTACGAGGAATTAAGTGGCATTCACGAGTCACCAAAAATAACAAGTCATCCTCAAAGGAATGCAAAATTTCAAATAATATATATATATATATATATATATATATATATATAACACTTAAAATATTAATATATATATATACATCTATATATATATATATATATATATATATATATATATATATATATATATGTAGCTAATAACCGATACAATGATGCAGACATAAGGACACCCCTTGACATAAAGACACCCCTTGTCCAGTTGAAGTAGATTTATCTGTAACCATGGAAACGTGATTTTAGCTGTGTCTTTAAAACCTAGTAATTTTAAAAGTTACTCCAAAATTCGCTTGAGGATGAAATGGAACTAATGTCTTTAATTTAATTTCAAAATTAAATTCGTGGCTTTTAGCTTCCATTTTTGAAACATAGTTAGAACTGTGTAGCGGAAAAAAAACATTTTAAATCAGTTAATTTATAATATATATATATATATATATATATATATATATATATATATATATATATATATATATACAACTTAATAATATTAAGTACGAACTCGGCCAATAATGTGCTGTGGTCGGAAAATAAACGTCTCCATAACACTAAAATCACGCACACAACTAATTAAATTGAAAAAAGAAAATCATCCTTGACAATATAGCAGAAAGCGCTCGGAATTATAGAACATTTTCACAGATTCTACACACTCTGTGTCCAAAAAAGAAAACACTTGTTCGAACACAAGAAAAATTAAATAAAAAGCTTAATCGTAGTACCTTGTCTGTCGTTTTTAATGAAACGTGCATAAATGATGGATTGCTGCCTACACAACTATATGCAAAATTTTATAAAAACAAATTGTTGCAGTTTTTTGTGTTTATATATGTACTAGTGAGTTAGCCCAAATAACTTGACTCACTTTATAGTCCACCAATAGAAGGTTAACCAATCAGAAGACGTAGAATATTCAATCCGTCGTGTATAAAGGCGGCCATTTTGTCTACTCTACCCGAATGTCCAGTCCAGCTTGTCAAGCGAAGAGAAACAGAAGGACGAACTAGGCTCTGCTAATTTTACCAAAATATCCACTGCTAACCTGAACAACGCTTTCCTACTGTCTTCGAAATATTCACTGCTAACCTCTGGATTCTATACTCGAAGACGACTGTCATCATGAACAACATAAATAAAGTTTATCGGTGACTAAATAATGATGCTATGAAGCCATATGTGGAACGTAATTAGAAATATTCTAATTCACTTACTTGTTCCGCTAAGTTCGAATCAATTCCTCGAATATAATTGCTATCTCTGATTATAACGTTCGCTGAGTAGGCGTCAAAGTTGGCCAGGACAGGGGTGCTCCAATTCAGGGCTGAAAGGTAAAAAAAAATAAGCATCTGTAATGAAAAGGTTATTAATACGTTGAGAGTCTGTGAAGTTTACCAGTTTGGTTCACACAAGACATTCCTTTGAGATAAATCTAAAAAAGATCAGAAAACGAAGTCGAAAAAAGTAATCATTTTAGAAGTTACACTTTATGAATTTTGCGATGTCAACGAACACTCGTTGCCATTTATGTAATGTCAACGAATACTTGTTGTCACTTTCGTAATTCTTGTTGTAGTAGAGACTTTGTAATCGCAGATACAACTATAGTAACGCCGTTGAACAATACTGGTGTCAGACGCCTTCGAATAACACCCGCACTAATAGTACTTGCTTAATAATACGCGCTCGAAAAGTAAACACCGAATAGTAATCCATATAGTGATCAGTATAGAGAAATAGTGTAAAAATAGTGAACAGTATAGAGGATAGCGAACCGTATAGCAATAGAAAATCAATTAGACGTTATGCTAATTCCCATATATATATATATATATATATATATATATATATATATATATATGTATGTATGCTTCCTTTACTATCACGTGATCTACGTATTCAAAATGGGATCGCCTGTGTTTGCTCTCTGGTGATCTATGTTCAAACTACAATGTCGTCAGCGACACTTTACTCCTATACAACAAAAAACAAGTAATATTAGACATGTTTGATGATAATTGTTTTAACACTGTGGAGATTTGTTAAAATAAATAGTTCGAAGTGATTTTTAAAAATCAATTGGTTATCGCACTTCGATACGGAGGAGATTATTTTTTTAATGATTTCAGATTAAAGTCTTGTAAAAAAAAAACCCTTAACAAATATCTTCGTTACTTTCTAAAATTCGTCATTTCAATATGTAAAGAAAATATGGAATTCTGTTGATAAATATATTATTCAAGAATTATTTGAGTCTCCGGAGGTAACATAAGAGTCAGAAAGTGTTGTTTTGCTCTTAATGTATAGCTTCATATTTCATGAAATAAAAGCAAATAATCCGTGTGAATTTTAACTTTAACACAATAAATATGATCAAAAACATCGTTGAATAAAATCTTCTAACATTATCAAAATCTACATATTTCTTGTGGCTGCAGAATGTTATTATTGCATTAAAAATGGGTATATTTAAAATTGCAAGAGGAAACGAAGAGCAAGGAAAAGAAAAATATATAATTTTTATCTATATCTATAATTCTCAAAATGTGTGTGTGTGTGTGTGTGTGTGTGTGTGTGTGTGTGTGTGTGTGTGTGTGTGTGTGTGTGTGTGTGTGGTCAGATGTTGTTTATTCGTTTTCACAGTTTTCATCCGATTTCGATGAAATTTTTGGGTTGATAGATAATTCTTCAGCGCCGGTTTTGTGTCCAAATTGACTGGAAAAAATTACAACCTGGACGGTGAAAAATCGAAAAAGATTATTTTTTTAAACTTTGCTCAAAAATCAAAGGAAAAATGTAATGTCTGTAAAAAAAAAAAAAGGCATCAATCAATTTAGAGAGTTGAAATCTAACGTAAAAGACTATGAGAATTATAAATAAAAATGATCCTATATTATTATTATTATTATTACGGTCCATGGGAGAGGTGCCTTCCTTGCAATATTGAGAACGCAAAGAATGGCCTTTTTCAGAGCCACTTCCTCATTTAAATTGTTAACGCCCTATTTGGGGATGCACCCAATTGTTAATAATATTGATTTTCAGGTGGGCTGAATTTAAACTTAAACTACTCCAATTGAACGGTAAAAATTCCCAGTAATGAAACACCTGGTCGAAGACAGGTTATACTGCTAGTAGACAGATATATCAAGAAAAAATAAATTTAGAAATCTGATCAGTTATCGTTTCTCGCACTTCAGAGCTCAATCAAGAAATAAGAAAGTTGTATACAACAATCAAAATAAGAGAGAATCTAAAAGCACTAGAATCCTTAGAAATCGCCCCATTTAAACATATGCTTTACTTACTTGAGATACATAGATGACGTCCTCTTATTTTATCCCCAAGATACCAACCTATTAAACAAAACTCAATAAGGTTGAACCCACCATCGAATTCGCATCATCTTGAAACAAACAGCTCTCTACCTTTCCTCGACATCTTAGCAATATCTTTTCGCCAGAATCCATATTGCATATTTATTCATCCGTGCATTGAATACTGCTGTCATATCTCGTCTGATGCTTCCATTATATATGACGAAATTCTCAAAAAAGATCCAAAAAAGGATTTCTAATGATATCAATCCTGACCTTTTATATCGACTTCAGTTATTTCCTTACTCTTTGACGTAGATGCTCTCTGTCTTTTTTACAAATATGTTCATGGCAGTTCTTTTAATGACCTTTACTCCTTGGGATCCCAACCGCATGAATCGAAGCGTAATACTAGATTGGCAATTAGGTCTCATCGTTTTACTACTGAAATAGCTAGACGCATCAGTAAGTTCTATTATAATAGTTTCTTTTCTCGACTGCGGGACCCACTCCCGGTTTCTTGCTTCCCTACTACTTATGATATTTCAAAATTTAAATGCAACGCTAATCGCCATCTTATATCTTCCTAAATTCTGTTCTAATTAAAGTATTTTTATTCTCTTTCCCTCTCGCATCTTAGTGGCATTATCAGCTTGCTTGAGATGAAATGATCTATCTATCTATCTATCTATCTATCTATCTATATATATATATATATATATATATATATATATATATATATATATATATATATATGTGTGTGTGAAAAGTGTATATAAATATAAATAAATATATATATGTATAATTATTTATATATTATATACGCAGGTACTTATTAGAAATCGCTCAATATCAGAGATAGAGCTAACATATTTAGTTGGATAGATGTGAGTTTGTGACCTGGGTTTCACGCTTTAGATCGTCAGACAATCGCTAAAGCGTGAAACCCAGGGTCACAAACTCACATCTATCCAACCAAATATATATATATATATATATATATATATATATATATATATATATATATATATATATATATATATATATATATATATGCATAATTTACTTTTCTAAAATGTAATGCGTCCTCGGTATGACGATAAATTACATCCGCCTCTCGGGTATGATAACAAACTACATCCGGGAGCAATGCCTCTGACCAGGCGGTTTTGAGGAGCGTGGAACCACCTCTTAACTGCTGGTGTACCCAGGTCCACCCTGACACGGGTTGGTAGCACTTATTAGGGTCCAGTCATAGGCACATAGTTGACCCCCAAACTGGGGTCAAAACACTATGAAAGTGTAAAAACAGGTTTTAATATCAGCAATACATTTTTGAAAAATCTATGAACTGCAATATATTTTTGAAAAAAGAAATATTACCAGAAATTTGTTTTTGAAAAAAAATTTTACCTGCCATATATTTTTGAAAAAAATATTAGTGGTAATATATTTTTGAAAACAAAAATTACTACCAGCAATATATTTTTGAAAAGATATATTAACAGCAATATATTTTTGGGAAAAAAATATTACCAGCAATAAAAATCTTGTCAGCATTATGGTTGATATGCCGTAAAACAAAATAAACCCAAACCCTGACCTACAAACTGATTTCTTAGAAAGAATACATATTCTATTCATACCTACCTATCCTAAAAATCTTGTCGGCTTTAAATAACCCATTAATGTGTTGATATGCCGTAAAACAAACCAAACCAAACCAAATGTAATTGGCTTCGGTAGTATAAATTGAATGACCATCCGAAAGCTCGGGAATATTTGGACACGAAACAATAATGTTTATTTCAAGTATATAAAAGAGTAATCTTATTAAAAGAATAACAGCGCATGCGCAACTGCATGGCATTTTGCCGATTTCTCTTTTGCTTGATTTCCATAAGCAGGTTTCAATGGTTGATTCAGCCGAGGAATCCATTAACTTAGCTTGTTATTTTGACCTGCCCCCACCCCCCTAGCTTACCAAACAAAACTTTCTCCAGTCACCGTCTACCCCCACCCCGGGGTTTTGTACTAACAATTTCCCATGGGTAGCAAGTAGAATCAATCCGCGTAATGATAATATGAACTGGTTGAGAGATATGCTCTATCTTTCATTGCTTTTCAGTCGTCCATAAACGCACGAATATATATAATTATTTTTTATAAAAAAAAAAAAAATTATAACATAAAATGTTATAAAATCACTACAAAAATAGCCATTTTGTTTCAACACCCTCGGTGTCTTATCAAGTGATGATGTTGAATATAAAATAAATGGTTTTATAAGTTTCAAATTAATTAACGATCCTTCGCTAGGGGAAAACATTGTTACAAAACCTAGAATGACCAATCAAAACCCAAGTATAGGAAGATTCAAAAGCTTGACAACGAAATCATGTTATAATAGCTATCCAGATCTTTAAAATACGGGTAATATTAAAAAAGAATTTATTCTAACCAATAATTATCAAATTGTATGATAAAATTTGATATAACTGCCAATTTTAAAATCCAAATTTAATCACTATAAAATTACTGAGGAGAAAAGAAAAAATACATATGTTATTCAATTTATTTCTTCGTTGAAATTACGTTAGAACAGACGCTACAATATCCGGTCATCTGACAATACATGCATATATATTTTAATCCCAAGTGTGTGAATGGGGTCTTAAACTCACGCGCAAAACAATACAAACACAGTCAGATTATAATTATAATTTAAGAATAGTAATTGTTGGTTATTGGAATTCATTCCGCATATACCAATTATATACTTGGGTATATATATATATATATATATATATATATATATATATATATATAACAGCAAAATTTTTGCGATATTTTGTTTTAGTTTATTTTTGTTTTACAGTATATCAACCTTAATGGGTCATTTAATGTCGACAAGATTTTTAGGATAGATTCATATGTATTCTTTGTAAGAAATCAGTTTACAGATCAGGTTTCATCGATGTATTTTTGTAAAGAGGATTTTTTGCCG